TTCCTTGACATTCCGCGTAATAGGAGTTCCGTTTTTATGACTGGATTCTACAAACCACTCCGTGTTTTCCGCATCGCGGCCGTATGTCTCATATTTTAGAGTAGTCAGTGCAATTTGGGAAAGAAATCAATTAAATCTGAATGTGGACGCGTGTAAATATTCAAATGTAACCCCCTTTGTAATCGTTAACATTTTCATAAGTAACTGTAATTAAATTACACATTTTTTCGTAGTAACTGTAACTGATTACAGTTACATTTATTTTGTAATTAAATTACGTAACGCCGTTACATGTAACTAGTTACTCCCCAACACTGTTTATCAGTGCATGCTATTTAAAATTCTGGTAATTTTATTTTCGGCTGACGTCACGAGTTCCTATTTTTCATCCAGCTAGCTTCATTTTGGTATGTGACACCCACTTATCCTACTCTAATTGATTCCCAAAAGCAATGGTGCGTTCCATTTGTACACGGAAGTCTGAAATTCTGAGTTCCCAGTAGGAACTATTAACTGAAATGCCTCCTTAAGTCTGAATTGTGACTCAGAATCTCAGAGGAACCACAACAACCCAAGCATCAACTTAAGTGAACCAGTAGTAATATATGGTTAATTAACACTTCTGTTTGTCTGTGTCTCAATAAACCTGTTGGTATTATCCAGCTTTATCTGTGTTTTTATCAACCAGTATTGCTAACAATGGAGGCATCCATCTTGGTTTTCCGACTTGTGTACAAGAATGCAGTCAACTCGGGTGTGACGTCATTCCCATCCGACTTCTGAGTTAAATGGAACACAGAGACAGCCCTGCCCTATATTATTTTCACTCTGAATAGCCTGTTTTACTTGGAAATACAATAATGAAGTAAAATTAATTGCGAAAGATGTGCTTTGTAATCTTCAAAAGGATACAGTCAAGAATCAGTTTGGTCAAAGTGGAATATGCAGAAAGATCCTTCATTACTGACATCTGGTTATGTGAGAAATTGACCTCCTTTAAAAAAAAAGAAAAGGACAGTATATAAACATCAGTAAAAGCCCAAAAACCTAAAAATGACATGAAGAAATTTTTGAACCATTTAAATTACAATAACCCTCCTTAAATGAGGAAAAAATCTGTATTTAAGTAAAAAATTTAAAACATCTAACTTTAATTAACAGTAAAACATCTCCGAGACCCAGTGAAGTTACTCTTCATTCACTCTTGCATAAGAAAGCTGAACCTCACATGACATCACATTATCCCCTCTGTAGTAAATTGAAGCACCTTGAGATTTTTTGGCGGCTGGAATCCAAAGAAATCGGTGAGTTGGTTGTGGGAAGCATCCAGTATGATGAGGTGTGGCATGTGACTCACGCAGGATAGATCTACCAGTCACAAAAAATTAGGCGGAAAGAGCAAGAGAAAGATGGATGACAAGCATCCACACAGCTGAGATTATTTATCCCGCTACCAAGCAACCATGAAGGGCACGGATGAAAAAAAAAAAATCCGGCAAACATTTTCAACGAGGATATTAGAGCAAATATCTACATTAGTGGAAGACAAATATGACGGGGTCCGAAACATGACAGCAAATTTCATTTCACCGTATAGTTTTCTTGTAACACAAACATTAAACTGGTGTAAACCTACCTTTGATTTTATTGTAGGGAAGCTCGAGCTTTTGTAGATAGATGTAATTGCATAAAATGGAGACATTTTTCAAGTCTTGCCCCTGTGGCCAAACACAATCAGAAATTCAGTTAAGGTGAAAATAAAATGTAATCCGGTAAAACCCTGAAACTAGAGGAGAGTATGACACATTAGAAAAAGGATGTAAACTAATTTGGAGGCCACTTTTGTCTCTCCCTCTCTCCAGCGAAGTCATGCAACTAAACAATATCTGGAAAAATATCCGTGGTTCCGGAAAAATATATTGATATTCTACCCTGGAGCTCTGTCGCATAAGCCTGGGAAATTTTATATGGAAAATATCAATTGTTGCATAGTGATGTAACAGTCTCAGTGTGTGTGTGTGTGTGTGTGTGTTTGTGGATCACACTGTGGGGAGCAAATGTTCCCACAAGGCCAGTAAATCCACTCACATTGTGGGGACCAGCCGATAGAAATCAGCTTAATAAACATACTAAATAATGTCTTAACCCGTTAAACAATCAAAACAGCTAGTGACTGTATGCGCTTTATGCATAAAAAAACTATCAATAACTTCTCAATTGTTCAATAAAAATCAATAAAATATAAATTCATATTTTTTTTTATTATTATCAGGCATGTGAGAGGAAAAGGGGAATAATAATAAAAAAATGCAATCTGTAATTTTATCATTTGAATTCAGCTACTATTCAAAATGTTGCTCTACTGTTATCACAAATGTAATAATAGTATTACATCACTTGCTCACCAAAGGATCCTCTGCAGTGAATGGGTGCCGTCAGAATGAGAGTCCAAACAGCTGATAAAAACATCACAATAATCCACAAGTAATCCACATGACTCCAGTCCATTAATAAACGGCTTGTGAAGTGAAAGTGTCTGAAATAAACAAATCCATTATTATCAGCTTTTTATCTGCTGTTTGGACTCTCATTCTGACGGCACCCATTCACTGCAGAGGATCCATTGGTTAGCAAGTGATGTAATGCTACATTTCTCCAAATCTAAACAAATAAATATTAAACAAATATTAAATCAATATAAAAACAATGCAAGTCAATGAAAATCCCACAATAACAAAAAAAAAAATCAATGTGTGTGTGGATCACTCACTTGCACAGAGAGGCATAGGTAAGTGTGCTGGAGTCCTGTAGCCGACTGTCCCAGGTTGGACAGGCATTTATACACCTGGTCCTCCGTTAATTCACCATCATTCTCCATTTCATGCAAAAGAATAAAGGAAATGTTGGCTACAATGAGTCAAGTATCTAAGGAAACTATATCATAAATGAGTAAATAGTCATGTTTGAGTGCTGTTACCTCCATTGTTATTGTGTGTATTGACTGTGCCTCTCTTCTGCTGCTGTTTCTATGGTCTCCAGTCTCCAGAGAGCAGCGCTTATTGCTGGAGAAAAGGAGGAATCTGACATGTCCAGCTTAAAACATACGCCAAAGATTAATTATTTGACTCCATTAATTACGAAAACTTTTTTTTCCTAAATAGACGCTAGTAAAGGCGGACTTTCTGCGAGAAGCTTAAATAACCTCGAGTTGCACGCGCATCGGTTGCCTGGTTACCAACAGTACATAAACTAAAGTAGCGCCAGGCGTTGTGCACAAGCGCATGACTGGTACGCTACGATTCAGTTATCAGCGAAGCTAAGCTAAAATCTGACTCAAGTTCTTTTAAAGCATGTTAATAAATGCATGTATAATAAATAAATACCTTCAAACCTTTTGTAATACATAAGCTATTATACTTTGTATTACACAATTATACATACTGTATACACACACACACCGGCATTTCTATCATTATGGGGACATCCCATAGGTGTAATGATTTTTCTACTGTACAGTCTGTATAGTCTATCCTTCTACACCAATGATTTATAAGCTTGTTTCTTCATAGGGACCAAAAAAAAAAAAAAATCCCCACAAGGTCAAAATTTACTGGTATTAATTTATTTGTGGGGACATTTGGTCTTCATAATGTAGGCAGGGAATACAGTACACACACATGCGCACACATTTTATATCATGTAAAAATGATATTACATCTAAGTATTGAATACATGTATATAATGTATTCTTCAAAAATAATCTATTATTTTTGTTAGTATCTGTGTTATCAGATGTTTTCCCTGAATTGTTGACAGCACATTCATCAAGTGAAACATATGAATAAAGTTCTAACGTTAAATGAAATTAAACTCACTTGTGAAATATACAGATGATCTTGTTTTTGTTATATTCATTTATTTTCACTTTGACATTACCATTGGCAAACTTCACTTTGAATCCAGTAGTCCAGGGCTGTGAGAGGTTCCTCAGGATGAAGGACTTGTATAAGCAGTTAACTGAAATTTACAAGCATGTACATGAACACCTCAAATGTTATTAAAAGCTACACACAAAATACATACTAAAAATACACAGAAACAAAGGCATGAAATAGTGTTGCTCTGACATATTTTGTGCAAAGAACATCAGATTCTCTTGCAGTAATGTCTAAATGAATTATAGTTGAATTATAGTTGCACGGTATAATGCTAACAGAAGTGCTTGAGTCAGTCGCTTCATTTAAACAGCATTGCGGACCCGATAATGACTTAATCACACAAATCCACACACTTCTGTCCTTGCCTGTATGAGTTTAGTAAGGCTCCTCTCACTAGATGCATTACAGGCATAATAAAATAAGGCAGACATGACATTTCTAATGTCTAACCACTGCTCTAAAACATCTTCAACATTCACACACAATTTTAATGTGCTAAGAATATGAAAGATCACCGCTGTGTTTCTCTCTGTGGCAACCTGGTGGCAATTATTGATTCGAGTGGTTGAGTCATTTTGATGGATTGCTCGGATGGCTTCCTGCTTAACGCATGTGCTCTGTATCAATGGCTTTCTCTCTTGCTCTAGTCTTCATAATTAATGAACTAAAATAGCCTAGAACAGAGCATGAGTGATCTGTGGGGTTTTGTGTCTGTTTGAACAAGGAATAAGAGGTTCAGATTCAAATGAAAGCAGACACAGTCAAAGGGAAGATAGTGAAAGTGTCATTCGACATTTGAAGCAATATTCGAATATATATCAACACCAAGGCTTAGAAACTAATTTCTTTGCCTGTTTAAACAACCAGGAAATCCACTGTTAATAGTGATGTCATAATAACATCATGACATCACAATCAATGACTATGTACCTATGTCATGACAATTAGACCTGCAACGAGTAGGGAGAAATTTAAGAAATGCTGAATGAGGTTAGCGATTCCTATTTCCTCTCGAGCAAAAAGAACAAATCAACAAGTGGCAGACAAGCAGTTTCTTTTTTTCCCCTGATAAAAAAGCCTGGCGTTCTAATCTGGCATCTGTTATTCCAAGCACAAGCTCCGGGCTGGGCAGCGAGAGACGGCGCACAAGAAGATTCTATAATTGAGAGCAGAGGTTTGATAAAGTAAGAAAATGAGATGAAAATGTCCCTAAGCTACAATGAGTGAATCCCTCCTCTCGCTCTGAAACGTGTGGCCTGGTTTAACCAGAAAAGATACAAGGGATTCATTTATTAGAACATGTCTGTGTGTGCATTTGTGTGCACAAAGCCCTGGTCAGAAATGCATCTAACAAATACTGGAAAGCAAGAAAATGAAATGAAACCACTATAATGTTTGCTTGAAAGTGTGACTTGACTCAAAGCCTGTGACAGTAATGAACGGCAGTAACGTGGACCCTTTCAGAGTGTTGGTAGATATAGTTTAAATATGTGTGTCTAGACTGTAGTGATCTTCTTATCCTTGGTAGCCTGTTTAATGGCAGCCTGTTCGCATATGATCTCTTTGAGGCGCTGCAGCCGCATGTTCTGCACGGTCAGGTCTCCCACGCCAGTCTGGCTGCGGTGGAGGAGACTCAGAGCATTGATGTACTCCAGCTCTGTGTAACGCACCCCTTGATCAACCACCAGGTTTAGCAGCTCGTCGGCTGTATTATACAGCATCTCATAGTACTGCCTGCAGAGAAAAACACAGAGAGAGAGAGAGCTGGTGTTATTTCAGATGATGGCATATGATAGCATCTCTCTGAAACAAGGTGGTGAAAGTGTTGCAGAACTTGATTCATGTGATTCACCACACATTTTTGCAATTGCAAAAGTTTATTTCATTAAATATCAATTATAAATATAATTTCTGACACTTACAAAAATATTATGTAGCTTAAAAATAATGAATAATAAAAAAGCAAAACATAAATAAAAGATTTTGTATCATATTCATATCATATTTTGTTTGTAAAATAAATGTATATATGTATAATAAAATATATAAAAATTATCATTTTTAAGCAGCATATTATATTTATAAAAATAAAAATATATTATAAAATATAAGTTGTTTTTATATATATATTACATTCATTACATATTTATATATAAATACATTTATTAAAAGAAATATATTCAAACTTTATTTTTAGCAATGTATTATGTTTTTAAGTATCTAAAATATACTTATAATTGACATTAATCACTAAAAAAAACTAAAATGTAATTTAAAATCTTTGTAAAATGAAAATAAATTTGAAAGCTACAACTCTGTGAGAGCAATATAAATTCATGAAAACTTTTATCTGAAAATTATGGAATATGGTGTAAAAAACTTAATTTAATATTAATCAACAATTTATCAACAACTGAAATACTGATTCTGAACTATCACAAGTTATTCTCTCAAGTCTGACAAAGCTGTTAACAGTTGGTGTTTGCAAAACAAAATAATGTAAAAAAAAAAAAGTGGTTAAAAATTGAAAAAAAAAAAAAAAATGTTTAAAACATTTGATACATCAAAATATTTTAAGCATGTTAATTCTCATAAACACAAATGAACAACAAAATGTTGTAACGAAAGAATGTAAGCATGAAAATAATGCAACAAAATGAAAGTTCTGTCAATAGAGCTGAAACTCTTTTACACTGGCCTTACTGTTCCTTATTGTGAAGCCATGCATTCACAAAACTTGAGAACATCAGACCATTTTTCCATGAACTCTTTGGCCCAAACATGCTGTTGACCAATGGAATGGAACAACATGCATTAAACATTAGACATATAGTTCAAGGAGACCACTTACTTACACATGAGTATGCATACAGACACCCACACAAAGGACTTATAACTTCTGTTTCTGCAGAAGAGGCACATTTGTAACAGGGGTGATAAGAGCTGAATGTGTTTTGACCCCATCAACGCAGACGACTCCTCCGAATCTCTCTCTCATGCTGCATTACTCAGACACATAGAAAAGGCCTTAGCCAGCAGGACTCTCTCTAACTCCCCTATCAAGCTGGCACACTCCTCCAGGTGCTCAGAGACTTCTGGCTGCACTCGAAATGAGCCGAAGAGCCCATTTTACACAACCTCTCGCTTTAAAGGTGCTCCGTACAGAGCAAACACTGGCAGAAATGGACAATTTTAGTCTTTTCATCATGGAGCACATGTAAATTTTAAAGCCATGTCAGGCATCATAAGGACCTGAGGTTATGAACTTCTGGAGATATTACATTTCTGGAGAACCATGGATATGCTTCATGGCTGCGATTTCTACTATAGTACAAATATATTCTACTGAAACAAGGTTATGGCATATAATTTGTCACTTAGCATTAGTTTTACAGACATTATATACTAAATCATGTGGCTTTTTGTGGACAAATTACTTTAAGAAAAGAGTCTTTCGAAAAGAGTAGAGGTGTGACTTCGGCATCCTGGCCAAATTTGCCCATTGGCCTCTGATCATCATGGCCTCCTAACAATCCCCATATCTACTGATTGGCTTCATCACTCTGTCTCCTCTCCACCAATAAGCTGGTGTGTGGTGGGCGTTCTGGCGCACTATGGCTGCCGTCGCATCATCCAGGTGGATGCTGCACACTGGTGGTGGATGAGGAGATACCCCTGACAATGTAAAGCGCTTTGAGTGCCTAGAAAAGCGCTATATAAATGTAATGTATTATTATTATTATTATTATTATTATTAAGTGACTGGACTTGATTCAATGCTGTAAATAAAACAAATATTATAAATATTTCAGTCTTTCTACTTTAAAATTTCACATTTCTTTGTAATTAATTGTGAAATTTATTAGCAATTTCTGTATGAAAAATGTTTCTTCACCAATTTTTTTTTTCAGTGTAGAGATTTGGAGGTATTTTTTTTTTACTTAGGCCAGTAATAAACACCTAGAAGCCACCTAGCAACCGTAACACAGCTCAAATTTACTTCAGGAAATCTAAAAATCTAGAAGTTGTTAGGCCAACTTTACAGTCTAAAGGCCTTTTCATACTGAATTAAATATCTCAGAGATCTGCTGTCTTCTACTAAACCTTCTTGGTGAAGAAGATTTTCTAAGTACTTGGAAATAATGGTTTTGCCCTTGCACCTCTAAAATGCTGAGCTCTAATGCTGCAGATTAACACTAACATGAAAAATCAAATGATCACAGAATATTCAGCCAGTAAAATAAAATACATGTTCAACCCAAAGACGCTGAAAAGGTTGCCAAAAAGTGTGAATGTGAGCACAAGTGCACCTGCAGGACAGAGAGAGGGCAGTTCCATTAACCCACATTCATCTCTGACACTGAAAAACACAGCCATTTATAACAGTCCTGACAGTACAGTGTCCCAGTAACCCTTCCTGTGCCAGGGCGTTAATCCACCAGACCTGGGCTGTCTGCTCATTAGAGCTCAAAACAGGACAATCTCATATACAACACTTCATTTGGCATAAAACAGCTTAATTGTCCTAGCACAAAAGATTCAAAACTCACCTGTTTAAACAGATAGTATACTAATTTTTATTTTTATTTTTATTTTAAGAAAAATCCAGACAACTCTTACATAATATGAGAACATATGAATATATGATATAATATAATATACAGTCTTGTATACAATTGCAGTATTTATTAATATTTTGAGTAAGCTTTTATTTTTATATTTCAAGTTTTGATTTGAATTTTAGTTTAAGTTTTTGTAATTTTGTTGAAATACAATATAAAAACAAACTTTTTATTTCAGCAAGTTGCCAAGGCTTAATTTCTCATTTTAGTTTAACTTGATGTACTAAAATAAGTAAACTAAAAGTGAAATAAAATTAATAAAAACTATTTAGGAAAAAAAAACTATAAAAAATAAAACTAAAAAAATAAATAATCCCAAACATAAATACTAATTAAACAAATTAAAACAGGAAATATAAAAATTAAAACTGATTCTAGACAGACAGCCAGACAGGCAGATAGGCAGATAAGATAGATAGATAGATAGATAGATAGATAGATAGATAGATAGATAGATAGATAGATAGAAATAATATCATAGTATTTAAAGATATTAAAAATAACACTGGAACACAAACTCTGGAGCTCATATAATACTACTATATATATATATATATTTATATACTGTATATATATATATATAAACAGTACTCAGCAAGCAATTTCATGGGGTCTTAAGTCAACATAAAGAGGGCATCTGGCAATTTGTGAGCTTCTGTATGTTTGTTTGTTTGATTGGTGTGCCAACTATGACATTCTCCACACTTCATTTCACACACATTTAAAAGCATTTAGGGAAACGGCGACGAGTTGCTAATCTGATTAACTCTCTTTTAAGACCACCTCCTTTCCTCTCCTCTCCCAATCCTCTCTCCCATTAGAAGATAACAAAGAGCAGGAACTTCTCACACATTGAACCTGCACCTGTGTGTGTGTGTTCTCTCTGAGTGCCATTAAGTTTTAATTAGACTGTTTCTGTGTGTACAGTAGTGCATACAAAGGGTATTAAGCTAATTTATGATGCATGCAGCGAAGGACGCTGGGAGATGTATGTTGGCGTGAAGGGAGACAGTGGAAAAAAACTTGAATCAGCACAATTCATTTCCTCCAATTTCCAGTATGTACAATATTAAAGCCATTAAGGGCTGCTTCTGTCAGCGCAATCTCAGCAACACATTAGTTAGCAGCTGAGAGAGAGAGAGAGAGAGCAGGCAAGATGCCCCTCTCCATCAAACAGAACACACATACTTGTCACCACAGTAACAAATGCCAATGCTTTCCGTGCAAAAGAGCATATAAGGCTTTCAGGACATTTCCTCCTGCATGCTTGACAGGTCCGATTTTCCTGTTAATGGGAACATTTTGCAGATGGTCTGCTCTTTCATCAGCTGCTCTGTTCTAAATCGAGGTGAGACTTTTAGATGAGGCAGTCTGACCCTGGTCTACATATTAGATAACACCTCAACAGAAGGAGTCTTGGGATAGGAGGAAGAACAGGCTCATAAACGGTTCGTAGACTGTCGCTGGGCTGCTGCTGCAGTAGATGTAGAGCTGGACAATATTCTTCAGCTTTCAATTCAATTAACCATCATTTCAACCCAACAGCAGTTAGTCAAAAAGATTCAAAATGTGTAAAATAATAAAATAAAAATGTTAAAATATTTCAGAACGGAAAAAAGGAAATAAGAACAATTTTTACTTAAGTGCCACTGTGTCAATACATATTAATAAACAGTCAAATGTATTTATATATATATATATATATATATATATTTTACTACTTATTTCAATGCATAAAAATGGCCCACAGAGACTTTTGTGAGCATTTCTGTGTGATGATGCAAATTAATTACTGAATTTATATATATTTTATCACTGAATCACTGAATCCCGAACAGATTCATTGAAATTAAACAACGCAGAATTAAACAAACTTAATTTCAACAGGCTTATAAAAAGCACATGAAAATCCTTGCAATAGTCACAGTGTTGCTTGAAGTGCCTATATTATGCCGTTTCGAATATTGTCTTTCATGCAGTGTGCAATGCAGCTGTATATGAATGTAAACGATCTGCAAAGTTGTAAAGCCGAAAGTGCACAATAATTAAAGTTATTGTCTCCCAAAAGAAAGAATCATCTCTGAACAGCCGAAACGAGTTGTCAGTAATTCA